TGAGTTTTTATATACATTAACTCTTTGAACATTTGCAACCGAAACATCTCTAGCTGAAATACCATTAACAGGTTTTGTACAATTCAGTAGGGCTACCTGATCTGATCTACAAAGGTCTGGATCACCATTAAATGGAACAAAAAGATACAGGCAGCTCTTTGCTACTATTTAATAGTTGTCTGGATTTTATTAGCCCAGAACTGGCATCCCTGCAATTTAGTATCTGTTTTTATTCATGCTGTACAGAGATCCTATAGTAAAATGAACTTTACAGGACTATATGCTTATTGGAAAAAAATAAGCATTTGTGAGGCTATAAAATTTTTCACCAGTAGATTCCTTATGACGTACATAGTAAAATGCTAGCATATTTCTTTTCAGGTAACTGCACATTGTGTTCATTATTCTTATAAGGAGATATATCATGTATGAGAGTAAATTTTAGATTGGGTGCACAATCAGATTCCAGGACCATATGTTGCCCCAGTATGTTTGGATACAGCCTCCAGAGCCCTTCTAAAAATTATAACAAATTCTTATTTTTTGTGTGGATGAAAGAAAAAGTATTGGCCAATAATCACATTCCCTATATTTGAATTTAATTAAAATTAAATGCAAGTTTTGTCCTAACCCTGCCCACTTTTTCTGTCCTATTCATTTATTGAACTGTAGCCCCTGGCATGCCATTCATGTGTTACTGCAACGTTCATGAAAAAAATATAACTGTAACCTTTTGAACTAGCAACATTATGGGGGTCTACGTTTATATGTTAATATCTGATCTTCTGTTAGAGTTCCTTTAGGATTCAAGTATGTTGCATTTTAATTATGTGGCTTACAAATGTGCTTACCATCTTGTAGTCAAGTAATCATTTTATTTCAGTCATTGACCAGCAAAACAAATATTAGAGGGGAAAAAAGTCACATTTAACTCACTGAATTTCAATGCAGCCTATAAGCACAGAAATTGACTAGAATAAAACAAGTTATAAAATCATATATGTGATGGATTGGGATGAGAAGTTTCAAGGACAGAAGCATCTCCTCAGCCCATAGCTTGAGCA